GGGGGGCCCCCTTTTTTTTTTTTTTTTTTTTTTTGCCCTCGATTTATGCGTGTCATCCTTGCGCAGGGGCCATGCTAATCTTCATTCTCTGTATCATTCCAATTTTAAACCACCAGTACTTGGCCCAGCTATTGATCCCAAGCCTGCCGCCGCCCCGTTTCGACTTTCTTTTGGCTGGCGCCTCCAGCCATCGCGGTCCGGTAGGCCGAAGCCCATCAGTCGCAGCGCGTTAACGGGAAGCGCCCGTGGCCGATGTATGGGCCAAGTACTGGTGGTTTAACGGATGTCCCGAAATACGATCAGGGAAAATATGAAACAACTTACTCAAAAAAATGTTTTGCATTCCATAAACAATCACACCACCGGTACTTCCGACGCACTTTTCTCCGGGGCTGGAGACGCCCTGCACGCCCCCCCCAAAAAACGAGCCGGCATGGCCCCGCCAGCCATTTCGCTCCGGAGGCCAAGCCCCAAAAGTTGTGTCTGCATTCAAGCCGCACATTTTATTCTTTGGCTGGGAAACGTACTCGTGGTTCAAAATAATAATGCTCCAATAACATTGATCGGAACTTGGTCCTTTAGTATCAAAATCTGTTAAGAAACCATTTCTCCATTCATCAGTTAATTGTCACTTCAACCGGGTAACCGATGGCTGAGGGCGCTGGCTCGGTTCGAATCCTTGCGCGCACGGAGGAGGTCCTGTGGGTGATAAAGTGTAGACTGTACGTCAACGGAGTAACCAGGCCCAAAATTTTTATACCTGGATGTGGTGGCCCGTGGATAAACCGTTGGATAATCAGCTGTGCTCGATGAGAGCGGAGTGTGCGACTACTGCCTTTGTGGTGGATGCCTCATTTACTGTTGTGTGTGTGTGTGGGTGTGTGGGTGTGTGGGTGTGTGTGTGTGTGTTGAAGGACACTGCAGCCCTGCAGGGTGGGGTGGATATCACGACCGGCATCGATCGGCGTTTGTACGCTGTGACATCACCTCTTGAGGATGACGGCGCCGGTTCGAATCCGTGCGTGCACAGGAGGGCCTGTGGCTGATAAAGTGCAGACATTTCTCAGTTAATGTGTCTCATTCTTGCACCAGAGGAGATGCTACTCTTCTGTGTATCGTTCAAAGTTTTAATGCATGTCTCGAAAGACTCTCTTTTTCTTACTTGTAATTTCATTTAAAGTTTAAACCACTACTACCTTTCACTGCTGACGCTTCGGCGAAGCTTGGTGCAGGTCTTTTCCACCTCCGACTACCGTCTTCACCCGAATGGAGCAACCGGTCATTATAGCTGAATTTGGGACAACTTTCAGTCTAGGTACAGTCATAATGATCGGGCATTCTATTTGGGTGAACTCGGTGAAGTCACTGTGTGACACTGTGTGCTATATCTTGATATTAGCCTACCGTCTCATGTAAAAAGGGCCCATATCCTCACATCGCAAGTAGTGTGTCGTGCGAAGCGACGAATGTTGTTGCTGTTCGTTCGGAAATGAAACACACACATGAAAATTCGTCACTTTGATAATGGCGGGACTCTTTTTACTATAGTACCTTAGTAGTTACTATAGTGCCTTCGGCGGCGAACTTACGATCTCCGCCATGAACATCACGATAACTACTAAGTTACTGTAGTACTAACTTAGTACTAGTTAGTAGTTACTTAGTTCCTTAGTAGTTACTGTAGTAACTGTAGTAACTTAGTACTGTAGTTACTGGAGTTACTGGAGTTACTGTAGTTAGTACTAGTTAGTAGTTACTTAGTTACTTAGTAGTTACTGTAGTAACTGTAGTAACTTAGTACTAAGTTACTGGAGTTACTGGAGTTACT